CCCCCCCCCGGGCATTTTACGTTATGAAATGGAAGTGGCAAGCCTATTCAACATATGATTAGTTTCTGGTTGTGAGCAAAAGGTATTTAGACTATTTTAGCTGAACCAGAGGAAGGCTGTCAGAGACGCTAAAAGCGCTGTTGCAACTGTACAATTTTGTTATTAGAAACAGACCAAAAATGGTTTTTATGTTACCATTTGCCATGTAGTTTAAAGATCTTTATAAATGTGTTTGCTTTTCTGTATGTAAAGGTGAATTCCAAGGAAAGCTCTGAAGAAATATCCTTTCCTTCTTTTTTCAGAAAAATGCTGATGTCAGCATTTTTGTTGAGATCTAAGGCTAATTATCTTGAAAAAATGCCGGGCTACCGGAGTTTTTCTTTGTGGATTCCAATAGCCGTTGTAAAGATCTACTTTTTCTGTGTGGTCCTAATCTGGCGCAAAAACCTTTGTATTTAGTAAACACCCTCCTTAAGCTCTGGCAATGTTGGTCATTTTGGCCTGAGTGCACACCTTCCCCTTCTAGGCCTGCAAGAGATGTTTGTTGTAAATTTCAGAAATTGTCACTTACATGTAGCAAGAACATGACACAAGGCAACTGCTTTCTCAAGCTTAAAGCATTTTAAATGTCAATCTATTCACAAAAGGAAATTTCAGTAGTGCTAGTCTCTTTTACATGCACCTTACCCACCATTAATGTTACCTTAGCCCTCAGTTTTCGTACTGATAGCCTTGATGATATTTTAGTGCCAGATTATCTATTTTCTTCCGTTAGATTGGTAGACATTGTATTGCATGATTTATGATTCATGTTGTACTTTTCTCAAGTAAGTGACGTCGGAAAGGCTTAATGACCCTTGGTAACTATCGTTATTTACTTTGCAAAGATACTTAAGGACGGTGCCTACTTTTGTTAGTGCGCACACGTTCTGCACATCACGTAAGGCATGGTTTAAGTGCCATGGGCGCGCTGGGTTGATATGATGCAATCAGCTATGCTACCAAGTACTCGACTAAATTGAAAGCAAAATTTTCCTACTGTGACCAAATCAAGTTTAATGAACCTGTACAAGTTTAATGAACCTGTACTTAAACCAGGAACAGCACGTNATCATCTATTAATTAATTAATTAGTCTGTTATTTTTCTTAAGTGATAAATTGGTCAGTTATTTTAGTTAGTTAGAAGGTTGGTTAGTTATTTATTTTGTTCTATTTCATTTACAATGTAGTTAGTTATTTGCTATTAGGCGTATTGGTTGAGTTGAGAAATGCACCCTATAAAAATGAAGCTATAATTATTATTAGTGTTAATCATCATCATCATCATCATCATTATTAATTTCATAAAGTATAAATTTCGCACATTGTGACATGTTACCTTGTACCTTGTTGGTATACAGATTAAGTAATGAAAAGAGACTAGAAAGGAACATACAAAATGATTATGATAACCACTAAAGAAGGAGATTGTTAATGACTGCCCTCACAACATTTACACATATACATGTATGTACGAAAGCTCAACCAACCAATCATGCTATAAGCAGCTAACTTGTTTTGAACTTTTACATCAGAACCTGATGGTGCTCCACAAAATGTGAAAGGACAGGTTCACAGCTCAACCAGCATCTTAGTCATGTGGGAGGAAGTTCCAGCTGATCAACAGAATGGTATCATCACGGGTTACACCATTACTTACCACTCACAAACAGAGAATGACAATAACAGTGTTACAGCTGATGCTAAAGATCGTGAAAAGGGATTGACTGGTCTAAAGGAGTTTGTGAACTACAATATCACAGTGCTTGCATCTACTGTGAAAGGAGATGGACCAGCCAGTGATCCAACTGTTGTTAGAACAGACCAGGATAGTAAGTAACTACTTTTTTCTTTCCAATTAACATTCATTCCATTCAATCAATATACTCAGTCAGGAACTCCCATCTGTGAAAAGAAGCTTTTCATCTCAAAGTTACTAGCTAAGAGACTAGAGTGAGTGCATGTTTAGTGCTGCTGAGAGATGTGATGGCCTAATTGTCAGCAGAGTGACACCTCAGCTATGCTACCAAGTACTCGACTAAATTGAAAGCAAAATTTTCCTACTGTGACCAAATCAAGTTTAATGAACCTGTACAAGTTTAATGAACCTGTACTTAAACCAGGAACAGCACGTGATTAGTTTCTGGTTGTGAGCAAAAGATATTTAGACTGTATTTTAGCTGAAACA